CCTGATCTAAAAACATGACTAGTACATAAACATCTAACGGGCTAATATTTCACTATACTGGGGTATGCGGGTGGATAAATGATTATGTGATAGAGTTCGTGAGGCTGAAGTGTGAATGATGAGTGTTTAGGATCGAGAACCGTGAACGTGACAGAATGAATTTCAAGTACGAACGAAGAGCTTTCTACAATGCTTGAAGAGCAAATACTGAAAAGCAAAATAGAGCAACTATGACGCAAAAACGGTGCACTTCTAATATCGGCTGGCAACGGAGGTTTTCGGGCCCCCTGGACTTACGCCCGACGCTACATACCACCCACCCCGCCTAGGAAAGGATGCACCCCTTCGCTAAGAGCGCTACCCGCCCGTCCAACACGTTGCATCCAACGTGTCAGATTGACGGACGCCCATAGTATAGGCAAAAGGACTGCAGTTTATCAAATGGAACATATGGATGTGCGCCACATTCTAAACTGCGCCTTGAAAGGCCTAGTAATGCATGGTTTTATCTCCCATGAGATGGTGTTCACGGTCTTATACCGCGGAATCCTTGTAACTAATTTGATTAATTAAATAAAACATTGAGTTCAAAAACCAAAAGGATTCCCACCGAATACTAGTAAGTGCATCGTCATAGTTACTCTCGCGATGGAAATTTTTCGCAACACTAATTAAAATAGAAAATCCTGATCTAGCACCATGACTAAAGGGGAGCTTTAAATTATGCTTGAAGAGCAAATACTGAAAAGCAAAATTGAGCAAATATGACTCAACATTCGTCCACTGCTAATATCAGCTGGCAACGGAGGTTCTTAGGCCCCCTGGACTTATGTCCGACGCTACATACCACCCACCCCGCCTGTTTAAGGCTCTAGGCCCAGGCAGGGTGCACCCCTTCGCTAAGAGCGCTACCCACCCATCGAACACGTTGCATCCAACGTGTCCGAGTGGTGGACGCTCATAGTATAGGCAAAAGGACTTTAAGACAGCTTAGCGTATGGGATGCAACATACTTAAATGTTCCGTACTCTATGGCTGTGCCTGAAAAGGCCTAGTAATGCATGGTTTTATCTCCCATGAGGTGGTGTTCACGGTCTTATGCCGCGGAATCCTTGTAACTAATTTTATCAAATAAAAACCAAAAGGATTCCCACCGAATACTAGTCAGTGTATAGTCATATTTACTCTCGCGCCGGAAATTTTTCGCAACACTACTGAAACTTGAAAATTCTAACGTAATATTTACTCTCGCGTTGAAAATTTTTCGCAACACTACTTAAACTTGAAAATCCAAACGGGATAATATTTACTCTCGCGTTGAAAATTTTTCGCAACACTACTTTAACTTGAAAATCCTAACGGGGTAATATTTCACTACACAACGGTATGCGGGTGGATAAATGATTATGTGATAGAGTTCGTGAGGCTGAAGTGCGAATGATGAGTGTTTAGGGTCGAGAACCGTGAACGTGACAGAATGAATTTCAAGTACGAAAGAAGACCTATATAGAATGCTTGAAGAGCAAATACTGAAAAGCAAAATAGAGCAACTATGACGCAAAAACGGTGCACTTCTAATATCAGCTGGCAACGGAGGTTTTCGGGCCCCCTGGACTTACGCCCGACGCTACATACCACCCACCCCGCCTAGAACAGGGTGCACCCCTTCGCTAAGAGCGCTACCCGCCCGTCCAACACGTTGCATCCAACGTGTCAGATTGACGGACGCCCATAGTATAGGCAAAAGGACTGCAGTTTATCAAATGGAACATATGGATGTGCGCCACATTCTAAACTGCGCCTTGAAAGGCCTAGTAATGCATGGGTATATCTCCCAGAGATGGTGTTCACGGTCTTATGCCGCGGAATCCTTGTAACTAATTTAATTAATTAATTAAGACATTGAGCTTAAAAACCAAAAGGATTCCCACCGAATACTAGTAAGTGCATCGTCATAGCTACTCTCGCGATGGAAATTTTTCGCAACACTAATTAAAATAGAAAATCCTAATCTAGCAACATGACTAAAGGGGAGCTTTAAATTATGCTTGAAGAGCAAATACTGAAAAGCAAAATTGAGCAAATATGACTCAACATTCGTCCACTGCTAATATCAGCTGGCAACGGAGGTTCTTAGGCCCCCTGGACTTACGCCCGACGCTACATACCACCCACCCCGCCTGTTTAAGGCTCTAGGCCCAGGCAGGGTGCACCCCTTCGCTAAGAGCGCTACCCACCCATCGAACACGTTGCATCCAACGTGTCCGAGTGGTGGACGCTCATAGTATAGGCAAAAGGACTTTAAGACAGCTTAGCGTATGGGATGCAACATACTTAAATGTTCCGTACTCTATGGCTGTGCCTGAAAAGGCCTAGTAATGCATGGTTTTATCTCCCATGAGGTGGTGTTCACGGTCTTATGCCGCGGAATCCTTGTAACTAATTTTATCAAATAAAAACCAAAAGGATTCCCACCGAATACTAGTCAGTGTATAGTCATATTTGCTCTCGCGCCGGAAATTTTTCGCAACACTACTTAAACTTGAAAATTCTAACGGGGTAATATTTACTCTCGCGTTGAAAATTTTTCGCAACACTACTTAAACTTGAAAATCCGAACGGGATAATATTTACTCTCGCGTTGAAAATTTTTCGCAACACTACTTTAACTTGAAAATTCTAACGGGGTAATATTTCACTACACAACGGTATGCGGGTGGATAAATGATTATGTGATAGAGTTCGTGATGCTGAAGTGCGCATGATGAGTGTTTATGGTCGAGAACCGTGAACGTGACAGAATGAATTTCAAGTTGGAAAGGGGAACTTTATACAGTGCTTGAAGAGCAAATACCGACCCCCATGGGGGCCAGCCCATATACTAAACTGATGCCAATTTCACGAGTAAAATCGGAAAAACGTTTCAATTTCAAGAGCGATTTCGTTATCAAAGTAAGTAGTTATAATAATTAATAGTATTCATGCTTATTACTTTGATATTGAAATCCGCTCATCGCGAAATAAATTCTTGTACATATAAAAAAGAAAGTGTATTGTGAAGTCGGAGGGTCATCCGACTTCTCTACATTTTTAAACTCGAAATCTATATATGTAAATATGTACAAGAAAACCCTATCCTGAGCTAAGGCGTAAAATACACAAAAATGCAATTTGCACGATTATCATTGTATAAAATGATACAGTGATATTCGTGGGTCACTATGCTCGCTCAATAAATAAAAATTACAACCAATTCCCGTGTCGCTACGGACCATTCGTCCTACGACATGATGGGAACCGGAGGAACTTTAAAGCATGCGACTCACCGATCGTTGACTTGCACCACTGCACTCGCCACGCATCTTATTGTTAGATTGACCCATAGCTCGTCTGTTGGCTCGTCAAAGAAACGGTATCCCCACTGGCCAAAGCACTCATCTGAAAGCATAAAAATCACGATTCTTGAACGATATATGTTTTATCTCAATTTGTTGTAGTTAATATGCTAACACATAGGATAATTCAAAAATATGCATGCAAAACTATATGGGAATAACTACATCATAAAACACGGTAAAACACATGCAAATACATCCCAAAACACTCGAAGATCAAAACCATAGAACACTAAAATATTTGCAAAATTATAATAAAACACATAGGGTACCAATCCATAACACCTATTAATAAATGCGTATAAATATGCCAAAACACAAAGGGTACTATTCCATAAAACCCACTAATAAATCCGTATAAATATGCCAAAACACATAGGGTAGCACTCCATAAAACCCACTAATAAATCCGTAAATATATGCCAAAGCACATAGAAAACCACATCATAAAACACAATAAAGCACATGCAGGTACATGGGGTACCACACCACACGGCACAGTATAATGCACTTGCATAAAAATGTCAGAACACATGGGTAACCACACCATAAAACCCACTAATATATCCGTATAAATATTCCAAAACAGATGGGAAACACTATCGGAAACACCATAGGCACACACAATAACACATGGGGGTAATACACTGATAAATCCATGCACGAATATCCATGGTATCAACCCGTACCGGTATATGTTTGACAGATCGATCCGTATCATTCGACGGTCGCGATAAGACTGATTAGCTTTAACCTCTCTCTAGGTCACTGTTGTACCGGCGCGCGGCGCGCGCAATCAAGCATGACGTTCCGCTTCACTGGTTCCGCGGCCGGTTAAATTTAACTATTTCTATCTGATATTTGTTAATATTTGTTTAATTATTATTTTATATTTTACAATTGTTTATTAATCAAATTATTGTTATATCTATTTAAATTGTTTATTTCTTTACATTTCCGCGTGGGTATATTGCAAAATTTTGTTTAATTATTCTATTAAAAATTATTTAATTATTATTTTTAATTTTACAATTGTTTATTAATCAAACGAACAAACTGCGCCCTACAGAATGAACGAGAAACTAAATTTCTGGTCTGTTTTACCTTGTTGACGTCTTTCGCGAGTGAACAATCAACGAAATCGTAGTTTTTAAATTACTTCTACCTGGAGACTTGTACATCATTCCTTGGGTGCTCGTTTTATTCTATCCGAGCCAAAGAATATCAGTCTGGTCCCTATTTGGACATACGATTCACAGAAATGTTTATATTACGAATAAATCAATGCAGGTGAGTCCGATCCGCCATTTTCTTGATCGTTGACAGACAGCAATTTCAATATTTTATAAGTTTTTGACGATTTGGATAATATAAGGACCAGACAGATATTCTTTAGAACCTCCTGAACACGTCCCTCAAATTTTTTTACATTCTGTTTAGAAATGACGACGTAATTTGAAAACTCGCGTCTAGGGATTTCTAGGGACTGTCGGTAAAGTTTTCCACGCTCGCAAATTTTTCAATGTTTATAACCATGACATGTCTAGACCTAGATAGGTTCTAGTAAAATTTGTAGAGGTCTCTCTATAGCAATTCCTTTCTTGGGTTTTCCTCACTATATTTCATTGAGTTTATTGCGTTGTTCTTTACTCGATCCAGGTGATTCGTATTCTTTGTGAACTAGTTGTTTGAAAGAAAGAAATATGTTCGCAATTCAAAGGACAGTTACTAAAGCTCCACGATTATTGAAATTATCTCAAAATCAATGCAGAACACTCCTGTGCACACCTCCCCGAGTTCGAGTACCATTTGCCGTAAGTAATATTTTCATAGAATATTAGTTACATAATAAGAGAGTTCTATAAATTATGATGTATTATGGTATTGTAAAATAAGAAAATTTATTTTAATGATATCTTGTTAATTCGTACTCCACTCACAGTAATTTGTTTGTTTCAGGAAAAAATGGTGATGGGCGCTATTCTGTGGTTGGGAATAATGTCATATCCTCTTTATATTGCATGCAATATCAACAACTACAATGCACGTAAAAGAGAATAAAATGTGTTTGCAGAGATCTATAAACTCTTAGACCTATAAATAAATATTGTAGAATGTAAATTTAAAATTTGAAAATATATTAAATAATATTACATTATAAACTCTCTTAAATGTCACATTCTTTATTATAAATGTTTGAGTATTAAGCATTTTGAACGATAAGAAAATCTGCAACATTAGGTACAAATATTGATCAATGTATACCTACATAATTTAGTAGCATTTAAAAATGTATCGAGTCTCTATACACATATATTTGCAAACATTTTGCAAATGTTTATTAATTCTTTTATTTGCACCGTTAAATTACTAGAATTATAAAAATTACAAAACGCTTGTCTTAGATTTATCTACAATATTAATACAACTAAGTTACGTACTGCCTGTACTCAACAAAATTTAAAAAGAGTTTCCAAGAACAACTACAATTTATAGCATATCGTTTAGAATCACAAACGTAATATCGTTTCAATTGGAATGTTTAAATGTATTTTCGTTTATTTGCTTTATCGTTTTCTTATTTTTTTCTTTTTGCAGTTCCTTCTGAGTTTGTTAAAAATTTCACAGTATCACGAGTACTTTGTATTATTGTTCAACGAACTTGTTTTCGAAACAAGTACGGAACTAGGACGGACCTTGTTTCACGAGAAGCGTTCTCACGATTGACTCAAGATTCGTTGATATTATAAAGTGCTGAAAAAATAATAGTCATGGCATTAAGTTTCCGAGTTCTTAGTCAATTAAGTCTGGGATTCCCTCGTGAGTGTTCATCGAATGTAATGCAGAGAATTATCTATACGAATCATGACTATTGCTATTTTAATACTTTGCACTTCTAGATTGATCAATCGTCAAGAATATGCCTTTTATTTTGACGACCGTGTCTTCGTTTCTTGAAACACGTGGCGCAACATTTCTCTTGTACAATTAATGAAACATTGCACATTCGTTTATAGGTTGCACACATCGAGGCTGGTACTATGGTGTCCTTGCATTCTGGAACAAATGTGTTATAGATACCCTCTGCAAATTAAAATTCAAACAAATACTTCGCAGTTAGTATCATGGTTAACGATCTATAATAACAGTTAGTTCCTATATGTATAGGCATCGTAAAGAAGAAGCAAAGGAAACGATAATAGTTCTTAAGTGTGTATTCAAGTTTCTACCGTTCCCTCGAACGACAATTTCCTCTGTTATATGCTATTACCGGATTTGTCGTTCGTGCATTGCCGCCTATGATAACAACGTCTTGTGTCGATTGGTCTCCTCTCAGGGTTGCAATCGTTGGACAGCAATTCCGTTATACGATCGCGACATTCGACTTCCCTCCGTTTAATACCGATCCTTACGAGACAGGTTGCATTGCAGGAACCCCATCTTCCTGTAAGCATGCCCATAAAGATGAATGTTTAATGCACCTGATCTTTACTGCAGCCTCTTTGATGGGAGATCAAAGTAAACATTGGTACGTATACACGTATACCTCATCGTATATACGTAGGACCTCCTTCCTCCATAATTAGCAGAAGAATATAATTACCGGTAATATACAAGAAAGCAAAAGGACTTTATATGAAAGCGATAAGCAACCTACCAGTCACCCATCTACCACCCTGACAGAGTTCAACGCTGACGGGTTTGTTCTCGAGACTACAGTCTCCTTGAACCGAACAGCTAACTTTCCTGCTCCTCTTTCCATTGGTGCAGTGGCTCCATTTTGAAACGATCCACTTCGACTTGGTATTATACATGGAATTGTCCGGGTTCTCGTCGACCACGTTATCAAACTCGAGGATTTCCGGTTCCTCCGTGGTCAACCCGTCGACGATCGTGATACCGTCCTGATCGTTCGAGCTTACATTGTAGAATGAGGCGTCCTTGTTGTCAGCGTACACGATCAAAGGTGGTTCGGTGGAGCTACAAGGTGGTAAGTTGGGGCACGGACTGACTTCTTCGGGTCTCACATCCCTGTTGCAATCTCTGTCGGGCAAGGCTAAGTCGGATCGATTAGGACCCATCCCCGAAGAGACGCACATCACTGAACGTTTTCGAAGCGCACCTTCTCCGCACGTTACCGGGCACATTTGCCACGGACCGATCCACCACCTGATTTTTTTAAAAAGAAGATATTTCAAAAGCTGTCGAAGAGATGAGATCGTATGAAAATGTAAAATTGATGAAAAAGCAGTTTTCGTTGTACAATAAAATCTAGAAATATGTATATAAAATTTGATAGGTTTTTCTTGATTTCGACGAAGGCCAAAGTCAATTGGTGTTCTACCTAGCAGGGCAGGGATTCAGATTGCATTCCCGCAAAATCGATTCCGGCTTCTCGATACCATCGCAAAACTGGTCCTCGACAATTCCGCTCTTCTTTTCGTTGCAGACCGCTTTCGAGGTTTGGGTACCGCCACCGCAAGTAGCCGTGCACAGTGACCAGTCGGAAAATAACCAAAAGTACTCTGGTGCTCGATCGGGTTCTTTCTTCGGTACAGTGTACTCGTACCGCAGCCCGAAATTACGATAGTGCCCTCTGGAAATCAACTGAAGCGATGGCACAATATTATTGAGAATGAGAAGAAAGTAGCTAGAAAGTTGTAACATTTATAAAAGATTCGTTGTTGCAACATTTTATAGGGGGTCAAGCTGAAACTTTACATACGTAGACAGCGATGTCCTCCCGAATAGGTCCAGGGATTCGAACTTTTTCCCTATCGCGATCTCGTTCGTAGAGAGCTGGAGTACCAGCAACTTCATACTCCCCTGCTAAGGTGATCTGCCTGTCCAATTATTAATTATCACGAATCACAGCTCGATCTTTTTACCAAATTTCTCGCAACATCGTTTAACAGTTACCCACCGTTTTCCATTGAGGAAGTACTTGTCAGAGTTCGGTACCCCAATGCCGATGTAATTCTTGCTGTTGCCGATCTCTTCGATTTTGATGTTTCTCGAGCCAGAAGGAACAACTACAACCTCCTTGTAACCGGGACCATCGTTCTTGTCGTATATTCCTCCTGTTGTCTCGCACTGCGTCCCGTCCCCGTGACAAATGCCGCAACGGTCTTCTGTGGCGTCGGAATCGACGGTCCAATCGCAGCCGACTTTCTAAAGTTGTCGAGTATCATTCTGGAATTAATCGAAATTCAAAGGAACAGATGTTCTTTAATTTCAGAGGAAACGGACTAACCCGACAGATTCCAGCGATGCACATGTCTCTGGTACCGACGTTGCAGGGTGTGCCGTCGAGGGCAGCTTCACCCCATGGCACGATCACGCTCTCCTCTGTGTCGGTGCAGTATAATTCGCAAGGTTCCGCTATATCCAACATGTTTACATTGAATCTTCCGTTATAATTGTGTTCTGATCGGATATGGTTCTTGCCTTACTTTGATCAAAATACGGTAACCAAGTGTAGTTTTTCCCTTTGTACTCCTTGCCATCGTAATTGCTACACTGGATCGCTCTGAAGCTGGGCGTGCCCTCGGGGCACGGTTGGGTGTTGCAAATCTTGTACCGTCGTCTCTCGCCAATGCAGAACTTCCCCCCGTGGGCTGGTTCCGGATGGTCGCATTTCCGCTCCACGATGGAGACACCCGCGCCGCAGCTCCTCGAACATTCGCTCCAGGAACCCCATTCACCCCAACCACCATCGATTTGCCGTGGCCTGTCCACGATCGGCACGCACTCTTGATTCTGGCACCACTGCGACATTATTTTTATGACGTACACTTACTTTGAGACAGTCTGTATATCGGACAATTAGGGTCGGATTCTCGACCCAGCAATTTAATGGATTTTTTTTACAAGTACCATAATTAGTCATGTATAATAACGCTATTTCTGTTTATAGTGGGATACGTATCGTAATAACGCTATGTACCATGTGTTTTCCACAGTGCGTCCCCGGAGCAGCCGGATGAAGCATGGTGGTGCAAGTACCGTCGACGATACACCATAATTTTGAGCAGATCTACGGAAGAAGATTACGGAGCTGTATAATATATCGGTCTGAAATCGCATCGTACTCGAGATTTACTTGTGTTTATCACCTCCTGCAACGGAGAGCAAACGGAAGCCTCCCGGACGCCAAATTGAAGTCTGCACTGGTGCTCCGCGTTGTACATCGCGCCGGGTGGTAAATCAGGATACGCGTAATCGTTGTCTGCCGGCTCGTCTTCCAAACACACGCCCTTTCCTTGGCTGAAAGAAACGATCCTGTTTTTCATCATTCACGCGGCTGCTGATATTCTTTTAATCGAGCTTTAGCAAGTGTTACGAATGAGAAATGGGAAGGGTTTCTTCTTCTACATTGACAATTTAACACGGTAGATTTTTAATAAGAAGGTTCGATTAATATAGTATAATAAATACTCCAAGAAATTTGTAATGTCCCTCCTGGAACATCTAGACCAGGCAACCCCTATGGTGTCCACCTCGAAGGTCGGCGTCATCACGTGCAACGTGTCGCCGTCCCGTTTGCTGCAACCGATTTTCTCCGTGTCGTGGTACATCCCGAAGCTGGAATTTCGAATGGAAGAAAATTCGATGCGAATCACAGTTTGTCAGCTGGAATTGGCACGCGCTCGTTCGCGATACGATTTGCGGGCAAGGCACGCGGCAAACGCGATAACGAGGCCGCATTATCGGCTAATAAAAATAAATTGGCTAATCGAAAGTACACCGAGCCGAATTCTCGGTTCGTTGGTCAACCTCGTATCATGCAAGTAGAATCAATTTTTGTTTCGCAACGTGTTGCAATTACCGCGGTTTAAAAGATTATCCGCGAGAAACGGGTCTCGTTTTATACAGAATATTTCATAACAAATCTTTGCTTTGAGCGAGGCTTGAAATGAGTAGTTTTATCGAGGATAAGCTATTCTATCGTTAAACCGCACGATTTAGAAAAACCGCGATAAATCCCGGAGTAAAAGGATGATTCAGAGGAATAAAAAGGTTCGCCGCATCGAGCAGGATGTTCGGTCATTAAGAAATATGAAATGTATAGCAGGTAATTGCCGGGAGGGAAAAGAAGGGCGGTAAGTACGCTTTTAAGGGACCAATAAAAAAGGGGTAATAAATTTACAAGGATTACTCGGGAGGGTAAAACTCGAGTCTCATGGAGGTAATTTACTTTCTTCTCGCCTAATTCTTTCTCGTGAAATTTTCAGAAAATTTTACACCGAGACATTTTTGTGTACTCGCACGGGATTCTCTTGAAAAATCGCCTAAAACTTCTAACATTCTAGATATTATAACTCGTTCAGACAACATTCTAAAGAAAACAAAAGCTTCTCTTTGAAATAGTTCTAGATGGAACGTTGGTAGAGAGTACTCACTTGTGCCCTAATTCGTGAGTGATCGTGTGCGCCAACGTGATCCCATTGTCTTCATTGACGCTACAACTACGATCCGGTTGGCACATACCGGCTACGTGGGCTACACCGAGTGTGCTGCACGGTGTGTTAGCTCTCGAACAGATATCCTCTCTTGTCACCAAAATCGCCACGTCGTGGTGATTCGGATGCGAATCGTCCGCTGGATTCAACTTTTGCTGCCATTTGCAGAAATTGTACAACGTCCTGTCCGCGTTCACCGTGATGTCCAACCCTTGCTGAAAAGAAACGTTAGCTTGGACCGTTCCTCGGCTTGCCGAATGTAAATGGCCACGCTAGGGTTAAGTGATGAACATGAACATGAAACATGAAACGAGAGAAGAAATCATTAGAACAATGATACGATAAATAACAGAATTTGTCATTAGAATACACCTCGAATGGTAAATGCAACAGCAGGAATCGAAGGTACTAATTTACACGTACTTCTGCCTCATCCTCCTCGACGAGAATAATCCTGACCACGACGACGTTGATGAAATTACCGATGGTAGGATCCAGGTAGAGCGACGACACCATGTTCATGATGGTCAGCAGATACGTCTCCACGTCTCCGTCCTGATGGAAAGCCATCATCGTCGTGTCAGCGACAACCAGAGCCTCCACGTGACGAGGTCGACTGATCGATCTCCTGGAACGCTGCCATCGTTTCGTTTGATGTTGTTTCCTTCGTCCTCGCCCTTGAACCTGAACGAGACCCGGCTGCGTTTGCCATTCGAGCCTCGTTTCCGTTAATCGCCTCGGTTCTGTGGGAACGTTATAAACCTAATTAGTTGTTGCTATTATTATACTAATAAGATATTTTATCATTCAAAGACGGTCGTTCAATTTTCACAGGGAATCCCATCAATTTTCCTTCTTGATTTAGAACTCGAAATTGCTGGTCCCGGTTATCTAGGAATCAGGCTGCAACACGCGTATCTATCCCGAAAAAGACGTATACTTGGTAAGCACGTAAGACGCGAACGAGGCGTTCCCTTAATTTATGCAGATTGCTTGATCGCAGCCGTGCAATTAAGATTTCATTCGAGCCTGCTCGATAGATTGGGTCGGCTTGCCGAAACGGATATTCATTGTAGTTAATTACGGGTTCGCGGCGAATTGGATTATCCAGTGGTGGTTGTTGCGGAGGGCCTGATACCTATCGAACGAAGCGATCTTTCCCTGCATATCGGGTACTCGAGCGATCGTTTAATCCGTCGAAACGCGGTCTCCGTCAGTCGTTGGATAAGGTACAACTTGGAAATCGTGCCAAACACTGGCGTACTTCCGATATTCTTGATTAAATTACCGGAATTAATCCCCTTACTTTGGGACGCACGAGGAGTATCCGATCTTTGGCGATCGTTCAATCCTTGATTTCCGGTTACGTGAATTTATCTACACCCCTATTGTCGCGAGATACGTGACTTTCAAATACTAGGTCGATCGAGAAGTTCCGTTAGTTGGAAAAATTCGAAAAATTCCAGTTACACGAACGGCCTTAATTACTGTCCGCTTCGCTGATTCTCTTTTCCATGAAAAATCTGAAATTTTTCGAATTGTTTTCACTCCAACTCCATGATATTTCTCTGTCTGAGCGTAAATCAATTTTAACAAATACCAAAAGCCACGCCTTATTTCCTCCCATTTTATGCCCCTCGAACATCGACGTTCGAGATATCCTTTCGTTAATTACATCGATGTAAATGACCCTACGTGATACGTGCTCGATACGAAAAATCTTTGCATACAACTGCGACCAGGTAATAATTAATAGCGAAGGAAGGGGTAAAGAGCCGCAGCCATGGTGAGAACCGTCCAACACCTTCTTTTTCTTCGCCACCTTCGCCTTCTCCCTCCTCCTTCTCCCTCCTACTTTTACTTCTTATCCAGTTCCGTTCGCCAGCGGCACGTATTACAAGTATTTATACCGTCTACGCATATAATGTAATTGGACGCATCGAGAGATACGAAACGTGGGCGTTTCAACGACATCTTCGGACTCGTTCTTTTACCCGCGGGGACACCTTTGACCGAGCTTGAAACTCGATAAAAAAAAAAAAAAAAAAAAAAAAAAAAAAAAAGCCGAACAAGATTCAATATTTATGAGACTGTCGTACAGTTCGATAAAATCTCATCGATGATACCTTCTCATTTTCCGACTAATTATCTCGGAATTAATATGAAAAGTTACGCGAATTACATTAGTATAATTTAATTCGAATTTTTGATCAGTCCTAAGTAGATGAAGAAAAAAGAAGAGTCAGACGGATAGGGCGCGGTTAATAGTCACCTTTTGTCGTGCCTCTTGGAAGAACGTCGACAGGGGGAGATGCGAAAGAATCGTAAAGGTACGAAGAAAAAGGGGCGAAGGTAGAGAAGAAACGTCGGCACGGGATGGTAGGTAAAAGAAATGAAAAGAAGCAAGGAGGGAAAGAGAACGGTGTCGGTGGATTCTCACCGCGAGTGCCACAGTTTCTCTCGAGTTTTCTCTTCTTTTTACGTCGGCGTCTGGTACGGCCTGCGGCGCCGATTTCGAGCTGCGGCTGCTCGACAGACCTACGGAACACGAGATGCGGCCTACCGGCCAACGAGTTCCGGTGCAGACCGTCCAAAGAACGACCCTCGGCGCCGGCGTCTTCCTCCAGCCTTTCCTCGACTCTCACTCCTTCTTCTTCCGGGGACACTGCGACTGGTTCCAACCAGAACTCGCCGTGCTCTCCGCGCAGCATACCCGCCTGAAACACGAAACCCTCCTATCGTGTTACTCGCACTCTTTGTCTCGACTTTGCTCTAACCAGCTGCTACTGCACCGATTCGTGCATTTCCTCAGCTTAATTTTCGTTTCTCTACAAATAATTATCAACTTATTTGCGCGTGACCCCATTGTGAAATTTTCTACTTCATCGTTTTTTAATTATCACCTTGAATTAAGCTCCCCGCCCCATTGGCAATCAACGTGTTAACTTTAATGATCCAGGCTCGAAACTTAACGAACGGCACTTCATTCGTCATCACCTTGCATTTTAATTACGACGTAATCGAGTATACAATTTCGCGAACAATTTAAATAAACAACCTGATTTCCTTACAAGATCCGATCGGCTTTAATTTAATGCGTACGTAATAAAGAATTTGCTCGACGACGAGCGAGCTTGAAAAATGACCCGGTAGAAAATGGTAATAACAACAGTGCCGTCCGAAATATATTCCAATCGCGTCGATCGACACGCTCGAGAGGACGATAAAGGGGTGAAACCGATCAAAACGTGCGATAACGAAAGAATGAGAGAAAAAGGACGGGTGTAAAATGAGAGTTACAATGGAAATCAGACGATGGGTGTTCCGTTGATCGATTGCTACTTGACAACGAATGGTGAACGCTATCGAAGATCGCGAGTGATTAATGACGCGGCATAGCTATAAACGCGGTAATCTGTACCGGCATCGAAACCGATTTGCATTGTACCGTTTCTTGCCTCGAACGCGTTACGTACTAGACCCACCATTGTGTTTCTCCAAACGGACGTCATTCCATCTTGGGTCAACCGTTGGACAATATTGTGACAAATGCGGTCTGTTGATTAATTACAAATGAACAGATCTTAATCATAGATAGAAATTCAGAAAAATAACTTATTTTGCGAAGAATACAATTTGATATTGCGTTCGATCGATAAAGGAGTCGATCTTGAAGAATAAAAGAAGACTACCTGATCGAAAACGAAAGAAAAATCGGGGAGATCGTTAACCGAGCCGACGACAATGTCCACGGCGTGGTTGAAGCCACCACGGCAACAAATCACTCCTTATATAGCCGATCGGGAGTTTCTGCGCGCGTGAGATGAAAAGAAACGGCGCGGCGGAGAAATAAAAAACAAGAGAAAAGGTAGCCTCGAAAGGTAGAGCAGAGAAGAAAAAGATGAGGACCGAGGAAGAAGGGCGAGGTGAAGGGAAAATAAGGATGGAAGCCGTGAGGCCCCATGCGGCGCTGAATCACGCTCCAACCTTTTTCACTTTGAGGTCCTTCGATGCTGCCCTTCTTCCAGCTTATCCTTACCTTTGTGAAGCTGGCGCCGTGATTTTTCACGGTCGGCTCTCGGAGAATAGTCGAAACGACTCGTTCGACTTGTATTTCAGGCCCTTCGTCTCCCTTATTATCCTTTCTTTCTCTCTGACCAGCCTAGCCGGCCTCTCTGTATCCATTATCCTTCGCTATTCCCGATTCCAAGGAACTTTAGATTCCCTTCTCGCCGTTTAATCGCGATCTTTGAATCGATAGAATTGTCAATCGTTTAAAAATCTTCATTAAACGTTGAATTTATTTGCAAACTCGATACTTTTGAATACTGGTCCGATCTACATAAATTGGCTCGTCGCATAAATCGATCATGCTCGCGGGAATTTACGAGCCTAACCGGTTAACTGCTAAAGCATTATATTTACTGTAATTTTATCCGTTCAAGATTCAACGTTTCTCTTCCAATTGCCCGATCGAACTAATCCGGATTTATCACGGCAAAGGTGGAGAGCCGCGTGCTGTCTTATCGGGTTGAATTGATTGCTTCGTTTCAACGTCTCCTTTCTGGATCTTCTTTCTTTTATAAGAAGCTGATTGGCTCCCATTGTTATATTTCTGCGGCCAATTGAATCTCACGGTTGAAAAGTTCGCGAACGTTAGTCTATCGAGGCAAAATTAGAATTCCTTCGGGTTATCTCCTTCAGGCTGATAAATGTTCTTGCGATTTAACTCATTCGCGACCGGGTTCTCAACTAATAACACAGTACCTCGTAACAAATATCCTCAAATAAATAAAGCGGTACGTTTCGAAGATGAGAGATACGCATTTTAAATAGTTCTTGCAAATTACAGATAATTGCAATTCGCTCTGTAACAATTTATTAATACGCGATCCAGATGACGCACCCAATGCGTCGTACATTTTATTTTACTTGCGATTGGATGCATTCGATTCCCGAAGGAGAGTTCGCCGAAGCACGCATGCACCGGACACCAAATAACGAACGACCGGTAGATCGCAGGATCGATAATGTCTTCATTCGTTTCCATTCACCGATTAGATTAACACCTTTCCCACGACGAAATTACTTAATTTGAGCAGAATCGTTATTTAACGCGCTACACAGAGTGATCTACGACGGTTTTAGATCGACCTTAGTGTCTCTGCATGCGGCCACCACTCGTTGAAACGTTCCATCAGCTGGAACGAGCATGTCAGTCCGATGCGATTCGATGACATATCAATGGTGGCGTATCAATTTAAAGCTTGAAATCACGTCTTATCAACCGCCATCGTAACGACCCACTGTCCGAAAGGTTAAACACCCTGTAGATGTCCAGGTCTGACCGTCCATTCCTAGGATCCGACTAATTCTCGTGCATCGACCTATAATTTACGGCCGGCTATGCGTTACGCTCCACACCTTCCTCTCTGCTCGTTTCGCGGCGAAACCTCTTCGTATCTGTCACACCTTCCTCTAATTGCAACGGACACGCGAGAACCGAGGCTTCCGTTTCGTGGAACTCGGACATTATCGCGAAAGTCGCTTCTGCCGATAGTATTTAATTAATCGTGAAACTTTCAGATTTTCATTTTGAATAAACTTCCTTGATAAAGTACCGTCGTGTCGCATATAGGCAGGAAAATTTGATTTCACGTGGCTGCTTCTATTAATCTAAGTTCGAGCGTGTGTTCCCGAAAATACATTACGTGTTCCCGAGGGAGCGACAGACGTAGTTACCTCAACAGGTCCGTGAGACCGACGTCAAGGGACAACTTCAATCACCGTTCTACACGTGTAAAAGCGATAACAAGGTTTCTCTGTCGAAAGTTCTCGGAAAAAGGGAACTTGCGGAAGAAATAAAGTTGTCGACGCGTCAACTTTTGTTACACCCTGTTTGAAATAATTTGTTTCCGACCTATCGGACAAAGTTTAATGAAAATCAAGAAATGCGTTTTCTGATCGTGCCTCTGGCAGATCGCTGGAGCTACAGGGTGGTCGATTCGAACAAAAAGCAATGGCGGTTTGCTTAGAGAAGGTAAAAAGGCGTTTAGAATGAAATCCAACGTACATGGGCGTCGACTCGAGATAACATTGCGACCGCCCATCGATACACCTCGTTGGTCGAACAATAATAATTTATATACGCTATGCAGCGGCTAAGGTGGCCTTAACGATTGCAACGTATTACCGTGCGAGAATGATGACTGTTCGACGACCATTAACTAACCACAATCGAGCTGCACCGCGACCGATCACTGGTTCCGCGCATTATGCTAATCCCACCTATCGCGACTGTCTCTCCGTTCTCCATTCTACTTATTAGCTTTACGTCGTTAACTTCTTTTCTACGTCGATTTTATTAGAATCAACCGTAGCTGTATTAAAGCTGGCACCGTAGAGAGAAATTATTTTGGGCTGTCATTGTTAGAACGCTGAAGAAACCTTTATCCGAGATAAATGTTTGGAATTATTTATTAGAATTCTATTGTTATCTCGCGTGCATGCACGCGATTTACGTTCCGTGAACGAATCAACAATCGAGATCGAAGAGAGAAAAATTCGCTATTATCGCCGTTCCTCTGATTTTCTTACGACGTTCATCGATCGCCGCGGCTACATGCCGGCGACGATTTGTCACCGTTATACGAACTGTTACTAACGAATGTCAAAGCTAATTGAATTTGATTACTCGACGTGCAGTAAAGTATCGCGTTGCTGCGAGGCAACAATAGCCGCGATTTGTCACCGTTGCTATTCTTCATTTCGCTTCTTTGTTTCGCATCCGATTTTACATAATTGCGCGAGGCCACGGTGATATACAGAGTGTCTCAAGAACGACGCGTACGAAACGGGTAACGAACGAACAGGAAGCTGGACCAGTTGGAGAAATGATAACACACGAACAAATCGCATTTGGTATACATTGGTAGACGGATTAATAAAGATGTTAATGAGAATCTGTCTTAAGAACGCTAGATACTTTAGCATGTCTCCGATAGACACCTGGTAGAGGAGGTTTAATGAAATATGCAACGATCAAAGTGATTTTAGATTGTCGCGGGACGATGTATCGGTGCCAGTACCGGGATTATGCCCTTCTGCCATGGTAGGATTCATTAACGAGACGATAAATTATTTGAAATGTCAATTGCGAGATATCGTTCGCGCCACGACTCGTCGACTAATCGTTGAAAGGATCGTGAATGACGTCACACGGTTACGAACGATCGGCTCTGTTCCTCTTACCCGAAGACAAGACGCATTAACTCGCAAGCTTGGGTGTGTACACTTGTCACGAAGCAAGCGGTAATACAACGCCAGAGCACCGAAGGGGTTACGTTCGTGACCCCATGTTGAAAAACCTTCCTGCAACGTTAATTGGCCGGTTTCTTGAGATTTTAATTATACCCGAAGTCATTTCGTGTTCGTGATCGTTAGCCGTTATTGATCGACCGCGCTTCAACGACCGAGATCATTTTCCTCTTACGAATTTTAATTAAGTTGTATACACGTTTCTTACCGAGGAAAATAAAATATAATTAAAGGCCTTTCGAATTTTTTGCCCACTGAACATTTTTTCTTTTTTTTTTCAAACACTCTGTATAAACACTCTTTATTAGAAAACTTTCAATATTGATGAAACCGAACCGCAACGAGGAAACCTCTTTTTTCGTGTTTTTCAAAGGAACCTTCTTCGTGTATGTTCATTAGAGATTAGTTTTAATGGCCACGGGTTCAATATCGATCATCCTTAATCGTCGCTGTTGCGCCGTCGTTTTTAATGTCACCGTGATTGATCGACGATGTAATTAATTACGGTAATGACTCCGTAACTGAGGACAGTTTTCACCAGTCTTGTCGTTACCATCGAAAAATATCTCCCATCCTCGTTATACCTCTCTTTAACCTGTTTGCTTACCTGGTTCAATATCCTTTAAATAAAATTGCGAATCGAATTTTTGTTTCATCAAAGCAGGTTAGTCGTTTACCAAATTTGTTGGCCAATATTTTTGAAATATCCTGTAGATCGAAAGCGATCGCTAGCTCGTCACCGAACTCGTCGAACATCGATCTTATTTACTCGAACAATGTTTGCAATAACGTTGACAGAAAACTCGACGACTTACCGGTAGACAAACGACTTCGTTTGAAATCCATATAACGTATGGATGTTTCTTTACCTTTACCCTGTAACAGGTATAAATCCTTCGAGCTGTTCTTTCGCTACACGCGTTTCCTGTCAGCTACACAACCAATACAACAACGAGATCACGAGCGGTGAATAACGATCCCGCTTATATTCCATCAGCCGATACCGATCGTCGTCCATTCAGTAACAGAAGAACAGTAAACGTAACGTAACGCGTTGATCACGCGAGTTCGAGGAATCCGTTTCAAGGCGGATGAAGCAACATTAACGAGATCAAGGAATGCTCTCTCCTCCCGTGTTACTTACACGCGCGAGCATCGACTCGAGATCACCTGTGGTTTCCGTGTTAACGAGGCAAACGTTGAATGCCGTCGCGACTACCGTTGATCGGCATCGCGAATTTAATCCTTTCGCTCCGAAGATTGCTAACCACCGTATACATATCGTATCGTCGGAGATACTAAATTGAAAGTTTAAATTTGAATATAAATAATCCAATTTTAATGTATTCATTTTCACAGAGGGGGGAAAATAATTTATACCTAATAACTCGGACAACGAGGCTACTACCTCCAACTTGGCTAGCCTCTGTAGACGCTCTAACAAAGGAAGTTGATGTTCCTTCTACTGGCGGAACTCGGTGATTTCTCGACAAAAGGCATGCAAGCTCGTATTCCTTGGGGTGGCTTCGAACGAAGAATAGGTTCTGCATAAAGGGTCGAGCAAATACAGAGAAGGAGGTAAGACAAGGGATGGAAGAAGAAGAGGAAGCAAGGATCTCGATGATGATAAATACTTCCCGCGGTGGAACGTGATTTATACCGTCATTAGAATAGTTGCCACGGACCTACAGTGTGGGTGGTGCATAATCATCGCTACCACGTACACCTACACTACCGTTCGAAAGTATTTGCTCATCGATACTCCTTAATATTTATGAGATACGCGTACCTTCCGAACCGACAAGTACAACTCCTGAAGTTTTCAATGTTTTTTCAAGGAACTAAGCGATCGTTTAAAAGGCTAACCGCCGAAAGCAACACGGACCACCCATCGGTCCGTTTAGATCCGGCAAAATAGATACGTATTAATTGAACGCGAGGGGCTGCTCTCCTTTGATTACCTATTACCGATAATTATATGTTAACGGTGTAGTTGCGGCTGTACGCGGCCAGATCCGGCTGGCACGTACTCGGGAACCTGTTCCTCAACAGCGGGGAACATTGAATCAAATTGCACGCGCGTGCATGCGTGTACGCGAACTCTGTATTCACGCCTTCTAACCTTTCGCTACTGGCCGCATACACTCGTAAATACAGTAAATATTTCATTAACTCATTTCAACTCGCTCGGCTCGTTCTCCTTTCGGAACGCTAAATTTCAACAACTTCCCTTTATTGGATTAATTTGTCGTTTCATAAAGGAGAGAATAAAACATGCGTTATGATATAACGAAAAGTTTTAAAGGAATAAGGGGTTAAAAAGTTGCTTCCTAGAGCCAAGGCGAATTCGGTAGTCTTTGGTATAAAAAGAAACGATAGAATTAGCATTTCTCCAAAGTAACCGGGAAAAAATAAATTCAAGTCTGATGCTGATACTTTCAGCTGGATTCAATTTCTGCACCGGTTCCTTGGGAAATCAGAGATTCAGCTTTGGCCAGAAGCTTCGCAAGCTTTTTCTTCTGAAACTCTAGCGACGAGTTATACGCGTTATTTGTTGAAGAAGATGTGTCACGCGAAAAGATATACATGCCCAACGACTATGCCCGTCGTGACCGAGCATATCGTAGCTCGCGATCGTTCCTGGAAATTTAATAGAGACACGTCCGCCACACCGTATCCTTGATCCTTCGACAACGATACCGCCACTGCTCGCGAGGACTTCGTGCAATTCTAGATAAAGGAGCCACACCTTTTCAAGCCATGACGACACCTGCCACCTATATCCTCCAAGTAACCAGATCGATTATTTAGAAAATTTTATTGTTACCTTCGTCAGCAAATTAAGAAATGAATTACGGTAATCGCGTTAACTAGGTAAGGGTAAGTTTTTCTGAAGAAATTCACGATTGTTTTATTGGCTGTTTTGTACGTTAAGCTAAGCTTCCATCACTCGGTTGGCCTCAATATCATCGAACGATCCAATAAACGTAATACCGAGCTTCGAAACGTTCCCCAAGCCACTCGAGGTAACAAAGGGATCACGGTACAGCATCTTGCCGGGTGCAGCAGCAAAAGGGTGGATCAGGGTGTCAAATTCAATTCTAACTCACGTTAAGCGGTCGGAATCGAGGTCGTACCACCGAATTAACCCCACCAGATAATGCCATTACCGTAGAAGCCTGAAATTACTGAACATTACGTATCGGCGGCAATTACACTCGTCGCATATGTGGATACGTGTGTGTAGAGTAGTTGCTCTCTCTCTTTCTCTCTCTCTCTGCGACCCCACAACGATTACTTCATTTACATGCCGCGTAAATACGCGAGGATCTGCGACGTGGCTAGCCTAGATTCTGCTCGATTACGAAGATTGCGTACCCTATCGATTCGTTCGAAAATTACTCCCTAGAAAGGCGAGGGTGCGAATCGATGAATAGATTCGACGCTATTCATCATCCGTACGAAGGTGTATTACGGACGGGAAATCTGCGTAAGAAATCTCTGTCGAAAGGAAAGATAAAGAGTTTCAAAATGAAACGTAAGAAATCACCCTGTGTGCCCTACATCTGTAATCAACCTCCCTGCTGCGCAATAAACAACGCAATCTCTTACATATTTAATCCTTGCAGTTCCATGCTTTTGTTCACCTATTTTCCGCTGGTTTTACAGCGTAATAAAACGGGATATCGTAGTAAGAAGTACGTAAGAACGTAAGGAACGTGGGCATTTGTGGCTTCAAGGAGAAATTAACAACAAAGTGGACGGCTTACTGTTGTACAAGGATCTATGCAAATTCTTTAGTTTCCTGCACCTGCCACGTTCGATGGATTGTAATTCACGGTGTGCCTTGGAACTAGTTTCTCACTGCGTATAAAAACGCGCGTACCAGAGGATATTACCATCCTTTTAATCGAAACCGAGTATTTTGAGAACGAAGTTTATAGCTCGATAACAGGATCTGCTCCGTTGGCTCTATCCAGGCAACGACTGTACGCCAATTAATTTTGTAGCTGCGATTTTTTCTTGTTTTCTTTTTTTTTTTTTCGAAGTAAATGCCCGTTAAACACGATGCAGAGAATCGCCTGTGTGGGCCAGGATCGTTATTTTCTTAATACCCTACAGCCGGTAGCGCGTAGATAAACGCAACGAAGATAGGCGTGCGCGTTTACAGGTGGACGCAGGCTAGGTGTGCCGTCATAAATCTGTCAAGCTATGGCAAATTAAATCATTATCTGGAAGCTGCGAGCAAATTGCGCCGATGCATGCTCCCTTCCCTTTTCCATATCCTCAATTCCCCTTCACATCCTTCTTCCTTCTTCACCTTCGTTCATTGTTCTCGTCGTACTTTGTTCGCCACCACTTTCCTTGCTGCTAATCGATTTTCATATGGAAAATTTTTCTAACCAAAACGGAGAATAGAATAGATATTTCGGGCTCTCTTTTTTTTTAAGTTCGCTTATCACCTAGCTGACAACTAACTAGCGCAAGTTTCTAGCCGCGATACCGCAGCCGTCGGGACCGGAAGTCGACGATGCACGTTAATATTCGTAAAATTCTCCCTTTTGGTTTCGCCAGCCGAAGGAAATTTTGTTCCGCGGCTCGCGTTCCACTTGGAAATGTAATTTCGCCGAATCCACCGGGTCCATTACCGGTTTTAAGTGTAAATATTATACAACTGCTACCAGTCGGGGCTGTTTTTCCACGAGGAAACGGAAACGTGACCGCAGAGAAGTCGTTGAAACGGGTTGTTCATACGTGGCACGCTTTCAACTTCGTTCGTGGTTGTTAATGGTAGTACTCAACGTCTTTTCCAACCTCTCGACGCTTTGTTATATAAGATACAAGGTGATACGTTGACCTTTTCCACTTAAAATTTTGCGACCAATTTGTATCACTTGCAAGCTTTCGCTTCAAGACGAAAATTTAATTTCCACCATCGCGTTGTTAATTCACAGCGAATTATTGTTAACATTCAACAGTTGACTTCAATACTCTTCAACAATGCAACTCTATCGTTCGTTTTCGTCGCGAGATCGAAGCTAAAGCAAGGTTTTGCAGCGAATATGGAAATTCAAGTAGAACATCCATACGATATGTCAGACGTATCCCAGCGTCTGCCACAACCTGCTCTTATTCTACTTAGAAATTCGATAAAACTGTTTCTAAGCATTTTCTTATCTCGTTAAAGTTAAGAATAAGGTGAAAAAGGTATTTGATACTTACCAGACCATCGCAGGCGGACAAAGCAACTTGGGAATTCGTGTGTCCCTGAATGAAGCCCCGATAATGGCACTTGCTCGACCGATTTTTTGGCCGACTTCGCACATGTATCCCTCTTTTTCGCCTTTCAACGACCATACCAGGCCCGATAAAGTTTTCCACGCCGGTCAGCTCGATGTGGTACTCGTTACCACCGACCGACAAACGATAGTGGACCACTGGTCCATCCTCGTGATGGTGGTGGGTCACGTTGTGCGAGATAAGTTCACCCAGGTGGGTCACTTTTCGAGGTATCACGATCTCGTGATCGTGGACATGTTTCTCAAGGGTGTATATACCTGAAAACGAAAATAATATTTACGTTAGCGTGACTTTTAGAAATACCAAAGGTTAAAACAGTGGATCCTTTTACTTCTGATAGGGCACTCGTTCGAGCGAGAATTTACAATTTATTGCTTAAAATATCACTTTTAATGTCATCGAACTCGAACGTAACAAGGCTTGGGCTCCGGGCTTCGGGCTCGGGCTATCCATCTTGCGCAAGAACCTTCGGTTTCCTTGAAATTTATTCCTAACGCGCGATAAATCTCGGTGAAACGTTTTGCAAACCGTTTGCTCGGTAAGAAGAGAGCGTTTTACAGGGTGTCTCGCCGAAGATACCTCGATTCAACGTTGTAAAAACTAATTAAGAAAGAATTTGTATCTCCCTATAAATAATGTTGAGCAATAAATTGAAAGTACTCCTTATAAATATCCTTAATTACGCGGGAGCAACGTTCATTGTGCCGGTGGGTGATAAACGAGCGAAACCCAGAAGCCTCGTAACATCTAAACAATCATTCAAAATATGAATAATATCCGAGGGGTTATTTGAGCGGGGCCGCTTTATAATCATGTCGCGATAACTGTCTTAATGTAACCACGGGCGCAACGTTAATGCAATTATTTATTTGAAATATCGTTTATCCCAACGCTGGGTGTTCGCAATCAATCACACCCTTTCCCCGGCATGAATTCACCATCTCTGTCATCGTTTACGACTCCAGTCACTTCGCTGCGCTACAATAAACCTTATCTCGCATTGCTAACGCCGGTAAACAGTCGATAAATCTAACAGGGTGTGTTGCAATTTATGCCAGAATCGAGGATAAGATGATTATATGCGAAAAGGTTAATGGACAAAATTGTGAAATAAAGCTTCTTTTGTACGAGACTTCGTTCTAAAGGATATTAAGCCTGATTTAATGACCGATAAACAATATTTATCACACGTACGTTCACTGCAAAGGGTTGAACCGGTATGAGATGAAAAGCGACCACAGTCGCGCCGTTCGGAAATGGGGTAGAAAAATGATTTGGAACAGTGGCGCAATAATCGTGCAACAATCGAGTTATCAAATGACCACAATATGAAAAGCGGTTTGTCGATCGGGCGACAACACGAGGGCGAACGAACGACAGTTATGCACCGTAAAACTGGTGTAATAATTTCCGATTGATTTAATGGCGTTGCACGCGTGTCCAAGTGAACCAGGCTTAGAAAGGTACCGCCGAGCCACGAGATTCGATTTGCACACCCTTCTCTCTATTTCTAACGAGTTCGCCATTGCTCTTTTCAACGATCAATCCTGAAAGGAAATATTTTTCGTCCGCCTAGTCGTACGACGAGCCACAAAAGACAACGTGTCTCGGGTAATTTGTCAACGGGACGTCCGAGGGCCGATAAATCTCGATCGCAGTTACGAGGTCGAAGGTGTCGGCGAAGTTTGAAAAATACCACGACGAAGAATTATTTGCGGTGTCGTAAACCGACGCGACGTATCGTTGATGAATAGCACCTTTGTTTGCCGAATCCCGGCGTTTAAGTAAATCAGCGCGTACTTTATTATTTAACCATCAATTTTTCAAAACGATAAAGTAAAAAAGGCGTATCGTGTCCATTTCTTTTTTTTTCTGTTCAAATAAACTTTTCTTATCCACGAGGGACTCGGTTAAATAAATCGCAGCCGTTAAAGGAAACCGAGCCATAAATTTCCACAGATAAACATCGTTACACTTGTAAACACGATTCCTTCTTTGTATTCACGGCCGTAAACGCGCTCGTAAACAGCCCGAGTATCAAAGATTGTTGTGCGATTGTCGATCGTTACCGATCGATCGATTCGAAACGTTTACTATTGTCGACGGTGATCTAACGTTTAATAGAATAATTGTGGTTAGCCTCTGCCCGATGTGGACAGAGAAAAGGACGTCGAGAATGCAGACAACGGATCAACTGCGGAGTAATATGTCTTCATGTAGCTTGACAATTAACATCGTTGCGATTCAATCTGCATACCAAGATCGGATATCGTCTTTGACGAAAGAAACGATGCCGTTCCAGATTTTTCCGTCACCAACACAGAAATCGTTTTATTTTTCACCACGATTACAAATTTCATTTATAAGCGTCGATAGATGAATGAAATCGTTCGAGATAGACAGGGTAGATGGCAGAGCGGGCCATTTTCATAGGGTTGGAACGATAACGAGGATCGGACGATTTACACGCTTTACGGGTTAATATCGTCTGTACATTAATATTGAACGGTAATCAGCCTGTTGGTCGTTGCAGCATCGATTCACCGTTGTAGCCGCGAGGAGAATTATTCCACGTTGCGTGGCTTATTACGGACACACACCGGAAGCCGGATCTAAAATATCCCGGAAATTCCAGCGGCTCTACCCGCAACACCGGTGTATATTTCTGAAAATATACGACCGTCAACGAATGATAAATGTAAACGTCTGTAATTAATGATGCGCAGAGAAGACGAGGAATTACGAGCGAATCGTAAATGGGATTATCGTCGACCGAATGCAATTTCGTTAGGGGATAGAATGATATCGATGAGATTTTCATATTTTCCGGAATCGATTTCGCGTTTTTCCATAATTTTTATTTGAATTAAAACTTCATGTATGTAGAAGATGATAAAAATAAGGGGAGAAGATATCGATCTTGTAAAAAGGAGGATTCTTACTCGATCATTATCACGAGCGAGTCCGATCTATGGTTAAACGATCGATCGTTCGATTCGACGAGTCGCTTTCCACGGCTCGATACAGGTTTCTTCGACGCGGAATAAATAAGCGTACAAGGAGGAAAAGAGAGAGGGGGTTTAGCATCTAGTGCGTTCGGTGAACGGTATAATCATCATTATCCTATTATCATTAAAGTCGGAAAAATGGCGGCTGGACCAATCAACGTGCGCCTGAAGCGAGTACGGGGTTAACTGCAGGTGGGGACTCGGATGAATACTCGGACCTCCCATACAGCCTTCTCTACCTACTGCAACGATCCTGGTGTCTACGAGATCGTGCAACGTTACAGGTACCGATACTTCCCACATAGGACCCGTTCCACCCGTACACGACTCGTTTAATTACGCAAAATAGATGGTGCGTCGTCCTGGCTACCTAGCGTAATTGCACGTCGCTTGCGCGTTCGGTTATTAATTAACTTATCCCACGCGATCCTGCTTTTCTGTCTCGAGAAAGAAATTCGAACGAAGCCAGAGCCATTATAAATTTTCACCAGGTTAACATCGTGTTTTGTCAACATGTCGTCGACGAGATTAAAGGCTAACCCTTTGCATCGTAAAATTTTCAACTTGGTATCGTTAAAAATAATGCAATCGAAAGAGCAGAGGATTGACGTAGCGCGTCCACTCGACTCCGATTTCCCAAATTAGATTTCTAGAGAATCCGGGCCACGGCCTTAGAGCCGTGTCAAAAATAAATTTCACTCGTGTCAAGTGGTTATAGAAGGATTCACACGAGCAATTTCGATTCCGGTTCCGAAGTGGCATCGTGACGGGGAAAACTCGACGAGTTGCAGGAGTCAAAGTTATTAGGCGTCGAGCCGATACTTTATCGTTGATACCTGGTATTACGGTGGAAACCAGTTCTCTACCATGGATGACTCACTCGTACGGGGCCCCATCTCGGATCCCATCGGTCGGGCTGCGCAAAAATCCTTGCCCATTAGCATATACCTACTTATCGAATTCATTAAGGTTGCCGCGATAGCTGCGGAAACACGAAGCAAGCAACCTTGATACACCAACCCCGCCCCAACGGGCCCTGTTCTCTTTAATAAAGCGGCTCTGCTCTCTGCCCAACGGGATAGGCTCGTTTTCGGTCGCTAATTGAACTTTCATACGATAGTTATCTCGTTAGTTGCGATCACTTTTCCCTAGTTCGCCGACCATGTACGTAGTCAAAATTATTGAACCTTCCTTCTTTGATCGTCCCTGACCACGAAACCTCCGCTTCTTAACGATCAGCTTCAATTTATACAGCTTGTACCTCGTTTCAATTTCACCCGGTGAACACTTTTGTTCGAAAAATCAAGCAAGATTACAGAGGAAGGCTGTTTTCCTTCAGTCATTGCCAAGCGAGCGTTCGAGGAAAGGAAACAGCGTTCATTTCTCCAACGCAACAGATGGATTCGCTTTTACGGATGAACCAGATGATTTCGATTAAACGAATCACGCCTCAAGGTTCCGTCGGCGCAATTAAACGCGATGCACGCGTACAATTCTCTTGATTCAACGAACTACGTTCGTACTAATTTTTCCGAGACAGTCTGTATACTCTACGCGCAAATGCCAGTAGCAAGAAAAGGGTTAATCTTATTAATTTACCGAGAAGGATTGATTAACGATTCGAAGGAGAAACAGTAATAAAGGGCTTAATAGCAACTGGTGCTCGGGGAATGGAACTCAGTCTAGCGAGTAATTTTCTGGGTATTCTTGGAAGCTGTATGGTTAGAAGAGAGCTAGGCCAAGCAGAGACAACGATTAATCATGGCGATACAACTTAATTATTGTCCACGCCTTTCTTAACGCGACGTAACAATACACGTGTGTGTACGCCTCAGCTGGTTCGTTCGCCTCGTTCAATTGTCACTGGAGAGATGAAGAATTTCACGAGGGAAGTGGCTTATTTCATTGGCTTTTCAGATATACTTATTTCATTTTCAATTAACTTAAACGGCTCCGGTGTATAACAATAATTATTGAAAAAAACGCGATATACACGCGGCTCTGAATGCTAATCGATCGAATACGATTGCGGAATGATTTTTCGAGGCAAGTTTGCCAGGTTCCACGTGGGTCGCTGTCGACCAAGTACAATCTCAAACTGTCTTGGCTCGTTCGTTTTTCATTAATTATCTTAGGCATTTTCGCAGATAGGATCGCTCGGCTGAATGGCTATGACACTTGAAAAAGCGGCTACTTCGGCTTTGATGGATTTATGGGAACACGCGTTCGGAAAAAGTCGATTTAATATTGCCTCGCGAAAGTATGCGAATGACGCGTTAGAAACGAAAACCATATTCCCTTTTTTCCGTTTCCAATTCAATCTGCCGCGCCTCGGACTTTGCGCAATTAATAAGAAAAAGAAGATGAATTTCGGATAGCGTTGGCGTTATGCTAATAATGGCAGGTACTAAACTGAAACGATCGTATTAACGTGTCTCGGTACAGATGCCCAGTTTCACCGTGGCAGCCGTAATACGTTTGTCTTACCAGGCACGGCTGTATCTACTGTGCCAGACAGCGTGCTACCATTACAATCGACGGCGTTCAATGTGCCAATTTGATGAATGTCGGGATAAAACAATGAATTTGCTTCTAGGTATAATAACGATAAATAAACAGAAAGGACTTAGAACGGAGAATTGATGTATGAATATTTTGTACCTGCCGTTCTATTCATGGGGAAAATTTAAGCGTGTCTCAGCGTCCCTTAAGTGCCCCTTTCATCCCCCACCGGTGATCGTGTATCTTTCTTATCAAGGAATAGTAGTAAATTATGATGACCGGTTGACGAATTGTTATCGCGAGGGTGGCGCGCAAGTGGCTTCGTTGTCTTCGCCACGGATCCCATCTATCTTTCGCCAGGGTAATAAATCCCGCATACAACCGGCCATTTACGCGAGCAACACTTACGTCCCGGTACTCGTACGTTACACGAACGCGCCGTACCGCTCTTATCTCGCTAACCATTTTCACAGGACAAGAACTCTTGCAGATATTCTTCACGTGAAGTGTTAACACCCCCTGTCGGAATAACGTAATGTCCCTTGCATTCGAGGTGCAAGGATTATTGCGATAAGGCGAATCCTGTTTCCCTTGTTCCACCCTAAGTACTACAAATTTCGACTCGCGTTTATCTTGGCGTTTGCTCTTGAATAACATCGATATCAATTCAGCTCGAAGGAAAGAACAAAGGTAGCTAAGCAACCATCGATTAAGCGGACTTGTATTCAATTTAATTCAATTAAACTCCTTGAACAAACCTCGAACAAAAGCCGAGAAATCTGCTTGCTTTTCGTCGCAGACACTTATCGACACGTGTAAAGCAGCCGTCAATGTTTCTCGGAGACAATGTAGACAACGAATTGCACGATTTCCCTCGGGTCATCTCGTTACCGTATCTCTTGTCTGCTGCCGCGCCCCGCCGGGACAAAGGGGACGACATTAATCCTCTCATTGGGGATGAACGTCAGAAACAAACGCGATTGTGTAGAAATTCAGCATCGATTGTCTACTGTCGTTCGCGATGATTTGTCGCGCGCTACCTTCACGATCGTTCAGGAAATGTCGCGAATGTTTTTGAAACTTGAGTCGACGAAGGAGTAACCCTATCCGAAAATAGAAGGGATGGCGCTACGCGTTGACACACATGCAGAAGCCGTGAATGGTGGGTGAGAAGTACGGTATCTCTCGAAAAGGATCACTCCTGCGCCACTCTCGTGACACGTTCGCGTGGGTTTCGTTCGTTATTGCTGATCGAACGAGCAACATCCCACGCTCTACTCCTGTCTTCCTCCTGTCCTGCCCCCGCAGGTGCGAATCTTTCGAATAACGCACAGGCCTCCGCTTCCTTTCCCGTGAATCTCGAACCGATTTCATTCACAACCTACTCGACAACGCGTTGCTACGTTATCGAGAATTGGAAAAATTCAATAGAATCAGGCTTTCGTAAACAAAGTCTGGCTTGCCCAATAAGTCGATTATCCGCGTGGAAAGGATCATTACATAACGGTCCTCGTCAAGAATGGCAGACGGTCGAGAGCGGCGGTGTTACTGAATGAAAATAAAGATAACGCTTCGTCATCGGGTGCCCACGCGAGCCGGCAGTCGAGTTTCAGCGTTTTCGGATTTGCACGACGCCTCCTACGCGCGGCTCGCCTTCTTGCTTTGCCTTTTCTTTCATGCCGCGAAAGCGTTCCGCTCGATACAGACAAGGAGAGACGAAAAGCGAGCGTGTACCGTCTATTGACGAAGCCGCCCACGCTTCACTGTCCGCCCGCGTGCCTGCATTCGTTGAACATCGCGCGCTGCCTGCACCATAGGCACAGGTGCGTCTCGCTATTCATTGCTACTTAGCCGCCATGTCATTCTTCCCTATGCGTTGAAACCACTTCGACCTTGAATTTTCACAGTCTTCGTCGCTTAAAATTGCTTTCACGCTTTCATCTTACTTTGCTTCAGAAAATAAAATTTACAACTTGATACTATTTTTCAACGAAGTTCCAGAAGCTTTAGAAAGCGACTTCTATTCGGTAGTACCTTGATAATCTTGAATCCTTCGTTCGTAAACCTTGCCTCACGGAACTGTGTAATTCATGAACTTAGGATTTTATATCGGCTTAGGAAGTTCGAAGTCCCCGCGAATCTCGAAACCTACGAAACTTTCGAACCATCTCGGTTTCGAGAAGTTTGAAAATTAAAACTTCCCGCTGCCAAGAATCAGTTTTACATTTCGAACGCTTTATTTATCTTTCAAGAAATAAACTTGTTGAAATGAAAAATCCTTTTTTCTTCTCTCTGGACATTAGAAATAATAAAAATCGCTACACGTGTGCGTACACGCGCGGGCACCCACGCCAATGGTCCCGCACTTATTCAGCGAAACGAAGCAGTGATTTTTCAACGGGTTCGAACCATGAATGGGCGGACGTTCTTGTTGGTTTTGCACACCCGCCACCGGTGTACCTTTTTTACCAGTCGGTTTTGTGCACGCTTGGCGCCATCCCATCGATGTAAGCTTTTCTTCCTCGAATAAAGAAGAAAAAAAAAGAAAGAAGGTTGAAAGATACTCGACTAGTTTGTCTACTTTACACGAGGGGATTATGGAATCGCTTTTAATTTGCTTCATTGATTTATGCGCCTTTCTGCGAAACGGTGAGCCGCAAGGACCAGTCGACTAAATTTATTCTTATCTTTAAATCTTTAAAGATTTTTCTTTTTTTTTTGTCACATCTAACCACCATACCAAAAGCGACGTTGATCAAAGCTTGGCTACTCGAAACAATTCCAAGCTCTCGTAGGTGGTCGTAGTTGGAATTTACGGTATTAAGTTTCAAATTAGGTAGAAACATCGACCTGAACGAGATGCAAACTCTACGCTAACGGCTCGTCTATTACGATAGTCTAAGCGCGAGAGAGAGTTAATAACTCCGTAATAAGTGATGGGATGCGGTTCGTTGACCGAATTGGATGGATTACACGTGTCAGTTAACTAGGAAAGCAAGCTTACGAGCGACAACACCGCGTAAACGCATCCCTTCCGTCGGCTAGTAATTTTCTTCGCTCAAGATAATTGCCTTCTAATGACAGGCTAATTTCGAAACGCAACACCGCTAATTCGACACGGCTACGTGCATTGTTACATCGCCCACAAAACGAATAAATATTTACGAGCCTGCCGCCAGCCGTGTAAAGTCATCTACATTGAAAAGGCCAGCAGGGCTCGCGATACTTCCGCTCGGCTAGCGAAAAAATGGCGTCGCGAAACCACGTCGAATTCCATTTCATTGTGGAATTCATTAATTAAAAAAAAAGAAAAATTAAATAAGTTCGGGATGACCTTTTCAAATGTCACGAAAGAAGCATCTAATCTAATTTTCACGGTATAAGAAAAGAGAAACGTCCTGGAAGGATTTCTATTACTCCGGTGATGCGTTTCCAATCCGATGGAGGAACAATTTTCTATCAGGTATCCGTAAATCGTTCGATAAAGGTGATGCCAGTCGCGGTGTCGGGAACAGGTGAAAAATGACAAAAGCATACGGAGAGAGAAAGAGAGAGGCTGATTTGATAGCTTCCTATCCGATAGCTTTCTCAAGTTACTTTTGTTCGAGGACTTGTCACGGCCAGTCGTCGACACAGCAGAAGCCTCGCCTTTGCGCCGAAGGCGGTTCTCTTCACTTAACTGCACGAATAGTGTCAACTTACGATCCACAGATGAAAATGAAAATCAATCAACCCCTTGGCGTGAATCCTTTCTACCGTCTCGTGTTCCATTTCGGGATTTATTTGTTTGTAAAATCAAGCAACGGTCTTCGAACTCACCCCTGACGTTCGATGGCCGATGAAGCCGAGCTTCGGGTACGACGTGCACAACGACGATGAACGCTTGAAGCACCAATGAATAGCGCATGGTTGCTGCCGGACCGGAAATGCACCTTGCAATATGTACGCGTCGATCGATGGGACCGAAAAGCTTCCGCCCTTTATACTGTCACTGCTTCACCTGCAACAAATAGAAACAAACCGTTTTATCAGAGTTCACGTTGGTCTTGCCAAGTTGTACCAGCTGGGCCACCGCTGGTCCAAGGCATTTGTATTAATATTATGGATTTGAAAATGCAATCCATAGAGCGGAGTTGCAGAAATAACCGATTCAATATCAGAACGGTTGTAAGTTTAGAACTAGGTCAGCCAGGATAAACGCTTATTCAAAGTTTTTCTATTACTCTCGCGTTATTTTATAAAACGTCTCGTGCAGGACAGGTGAGAAAGTAAATTGCCAAGTTAAGATATTAATCTCGTGGATCGTGAAACATCATTAAACAAATTGAACTGATTTGGTTCGTACATTACGGTGGGCGAGTTTGAAATTTCCTAAGGTAAATCTCAGGGATGCTTTTGTAGCAGCTTTTGGTCGAAGGTACCTACCTTGTTACGCGAGATTTTCATGGTCTGGCAAGTAACGCTTGGTAGTTATGGTAATCGGATTTGGCCGGTCCATGGTCAGCCCCATGATTGGATCTGACAACCGTACTGGCCCTTTCTCACCAGTTTCTCACCGAATAGTCGGATCTCACCGTACACTCTGACTTATACGAACGAATCGTTTCTGGGAATCTCGGTCAAATTTCAGAGCAACGATTATACGGATCGGTTAGCCAATACGAATGATCGAACGTTATCGAATGAACATTAGGTAAAATCTCGTTTCCTCGTACGTTGATTCACCTCGTTGATGGCGCGAATGTACATCGTATACTTGAGAAAAATTAGACATTTAAAGGCGTGTAAAACGATTTACGGTTTTCTGGAATAATCGAGAACTCCCTTAACGATAATAACACCACTTGAAACCATCTGGAGCGGAGTTTAATCAATGAGTAGCTTGTCTTAATCGAATCGAATCTTTGCTAGTTCGCTAAGCCGAACGTAGTTAATGCGAACAAACGACTGGTTCGAATGAAACGCGACCGTGGAATATTTATAAGAGAGGCGGGGTTTAAAAGCATCTCCTGTCATTCGAATAGAGTTGTCACACGTGTAACACGCCGCACAAGTCGAACGAACATTATAATATCGCGAAATTATTGCAAACAACAGCGATACTCTGAGAAATTCATTTTCTCATAAAATTCACACCGTTAGACGATTAGATTACACAGAAGCTGCTTGGTAGATAGAGAAATTGAATGGTATCCGAGTACAATGGATAACAATGAAGAGATGTTAGAAGAGAATCGGAGGGTCTACGAAGGGTCCAGTCGAAAAAAGATCCACGTGGGCAGACGACAGCGAGGAAACGGTGCACGAAGTGAGAGGCACCGGAAATGCATTCGAGCAAACGTTAGGAACGCGTGGGTAAGCGCGTGTGAAAATGCGTGTACCGGAGGGAAAAGGTACGAGAACGAGAAAGCGACTAAAGCGGAAAGGAACAACCAACCGACTCGGTCGAACAGGATTTACTCCCACGAACGTGTATCCACGTTCGCCTCCGACTAATTCTGTAATGTTAATAGCGGTTAATTGACAGGTTCGACAACGATCGAGAATAATTTCAACAAAAACAGCTCGCCTATGTCGAATGTTGTGCAAGCCGATTACACTTTTTGGTTGAACCTATAGGATGTCTCAAAAGACGTGTGATTTTTTCTTTTCTCTTTTTCTTTGGCGATTGCAACGAGAACGCGTCTGGCAAAAATTGTCAGATATCGTATTCGGGTCATCTTGAATAACGTCAGATTAAGATAATCCTCGTTAAGACTTCAATAAATTCGTTCTTGAACAGCACGAAAGCTTCTTCATTTTGACAGCAACATTTCCTTTCTCCTTTTCAACGTACTTCACGAAAGCGTACCTTTTCACTCGATCTTATTTGCATTCACCAACGTCCGATGTTCGCGTCGTTTCACCAAGCATAATAAAGATGCCCGGCGAAGATGAATGCGGAGCTTTAATTAATATCGATGAAACGTAAGAAGAGGATGCACAAGTCACAGAGGCTCCGACTGCTTCGGGCAATGATAATGAAGTCACTCGGTGTCAGGCTACACAATCGCGGTTCCGTGCTTTATAATCCCCCTTTCAGCATGGCTTCTTGATCAACTTATTCGTATGCAAGCCTGCTTCTTCGCTCTCCCATTTTACCGTGAAAGCTCGTTTCTCAACGCGTCGCTTTTCGCGTTTTACCTCGTTTCCGCGTCGTGATCTCCTGTTCTTCGCTAAATTCGCGAATAAATCACGATCGACCGCGGTATCCGGTAGTTTCCGTACAATTTTCAACAACCTTATTAGCGACCGACTGATAATCGTTTCGAATTTATAGACGTGACGAAATTTTCACTTTACCTTGGATATCTCGTTAAACATTTAATAAACATCGCACGTGTCCGTCTAAAGTTCAAGCGTAAAAATAATGCTTTTCGTTTACTTGGTAAACGGTAAGTTTCGAGAATTGTAACAAGGGCGGATGGGTGAAGCGGAGGGGTTCGATCTCGATCGCGAGGTTCGAGGTGACCAGATTGTCAGGTAAATATTCATAGGTGATTTATAGGAGTTATGCAGCCACAAAGGGCGTGCATCGGTCGAGAGGCGCCGCTACCACGACGCGCAACTCATTGTTTCCCCGGGGTGATGGATCGAAGTAGAACAGAAAGGTTATGCACGTTTTCAAATTAATCACGACCACTCGCTGACATCGTTCGACCCTGGAATGCCGTGACGCCCCTTTTCTTCGGGGATGCCGCGCCTATTCGAAGGGCTTCAACCGTCTACGCGTGACGACGATGAATCTTTCTGAAACGTGCGTGAAATCCAGATTTATATTGGCTTCTCAGAAAAAAAAAAAAAAATAGCCATTTTGTACCACCTTCTTCTTTCATCCCCAGAGTGATTCAAACCTATCTTTCTTATCGAACGTTTTAAATAATTTTCATCATGGTTTGGCCTCTAAAATTTGCCGCGTTCCACGGTTTCATTAATTATCTGAAAAATCGTCGAAAGCATCCAGAGTGTAAGGAAACTTCTCTGGATGCTTGCACGTTGCTCGGCTGCAGCTGGCTCGCAAGAAACTTTTCACGGAAGCTACCGTACTCCAATTAACGCCCAAGATTCGAGGTAAAACGCGTGCACGTTCGCGTGAACGGCTCGCAAAGTGTACAGAACGTACAGGTCGTCGGCTGTAATTTTCTCTCGCGATCGTTCTTCCGTAGTGGACGCTTCCTATTGCTCGTTAAAGCGTCCGCGTCGTGTGTCATAGGTGATCTGTTTCCTCGAGCTACGCTTTATCTATCCCCTGGAAAAACGTCTTCAGCAATTTCGTTCGAATTCTTCTGCTTCGTGTCGATTGGCTTCGAAGGGTTTAGAAAAAAGACATTTTCAGGATAAATTAAACGAAAAGGCCAGGGGTGATCGTTTCGAATGGAATTTAAATTAAACTCGCGAGGATTATCATCGCGTTATTGATTCTGAGAGCAACGCGAGCCATGACCATAAATTTTCGCGAATGATCGAGGGTGTCGCGTGTAGTTGAGCATCGATCCTCGAATAAGTTTACGAGCAATCACGGAATCAGTGTATCGTCGTTTACGGACAAAGGTTTAAGTGTCTTTCTAACAACTATTTCACGTTCGACGTGCCGTAAATAACCAGGCGTTCGAGATTCGTTTGAGACATCGTTAATAGAATGCCTGTGCCGAGAGTTAATTTACGCTGGATACACTTATGGGACGATCGTTATAGGTCGTTATTACGACGACTGCTAGGAAACTTCTGAGAAAATCGCGCAATTACATTTTCGCCTTCTTCTTTCGTTATAATCCTTCGTCATTATCAGATATTTTCACCTTAATTATTTGAAAATTTATTTCATTCTAGAAAGTGAAGAATTTTTCGAGTAGAATTTTCAGTAGAATCATGGGCGTCCTTTGTACAGGTTCGACCCACTTGTACAACGGTTTAATTCCATGGAAAGCAACTGCCGTCGGCAGCCGCTTGTTTGTTGTTTGCTCATTAAATAATTAGCACGCAGATTACCTCGTTACTGGAGGATCACGAAAAGGAGCGTGAAGCGAGCCCCTCTGCAACTGATCGATCAATTATCGATGAACGTTGCAATTATTGGGGATACACAATAAATTTTCCATTTGATGGGAAAATGATTAGAAAACGCTAGTTATAAAGCGCTTTACGTAAGGTTGTTCGATAAGTAAGCTGGAGATACGAAATTCTAGGATCACTTCGAGTAAGTTTGCTCGAAAGTTGAGCTGAAGGAACAACTTTCTGAAAATTGTAAACAACGCTTTTATCGAGGTATTCGGTTAGGAAAACGTTCGCGTTGTGAAGTTTGAAAACAGACTTCCGGTTTGAATAGTTAGGCAAAGTACCGCTGCTTTGAACTTTATTATAGAGGAAGAGTTTGCGATAAGCCGATGCTGTTGTTTCCTTTAGTACTTGTTTCTTTGTAATGAAAGAACAGCTTCTCTAGTTATAATATTTTACTCGATTATCATTCAAATTTTACTGCTTGTATGCTAAAAGCATATCGCTATAAATATTCCGAAAAGATTCCAGATGCATAAATGTTTCAAGTACCTCAAGATCGTTCGGTACCTCTGAAAGCTTCCGATATTTTCAAAGCTTTGAAATATCAAATCGTGGCGATGCGTTGAAAAATTAATTTCCAACATTTTTCGTTTAATACCCGCAGTTTATTTATCAGTATTCGCAAGTACCTACCGCGAGCCGTCGGTTCCGTCGCCAAAGACACGTGGTTGCCGCCGTCTTCTCACACTATTCCGAAACACCTGCGCGCACCTTCTCCGCACAAACGATCTCGCGGATGCGTCACACAATCCCGAAACACCTCCTTTTCCTCCTTCTTTTCCGCCGTTCTCCGCACCGGTTAACGACTCACTTTTCGCCGGAAGTGTCGAACCGACTCTTCGATGGAGGGTGGTCCCGGTACGCTCCGGGTATGGAGAGGGCGAGTCAACAGACGAAGAGGGCGAGGGGGTGGGGATAGAAGAATGGAAGTAGGGAAACAAAAGTATAAAAAAGGGAAAGGAATGGAAAGGTAAGAGAAGAGGGTAGAGATCGAGAGTGTGAAAAGGGGTGCGAAAGAATGGATCGAGGGAAAAAGAGATAGATAGATAGATAGATAGATAGAGAGAAGGGGAAACAGAAATGACGGAACACAGTCCGGCAGAGAAGTCGTGGGCACGATCGCCGTCACAACACTAGCGGTCTGCTACACTCTTCCGACGCTACGTACACGATCCTCCTCTCCGTGTCCCTGTACGATTCTCCGTCCCATTCCCTCTCGATCAGCTGCCCCTGCGCCCGTCTACACGCCCGTCTGTGCCCGCCGATACTTCTGTCCATACCTATCCTACGTCTACGTTACACTGTCCAACATTTTCTTTCCTAATACAATGATACCGAATGAAACTTAGGCCTGGCCTCTGCAAAATGATTTCCTGAACAGTGATTTCCTATATCTTCGTATGGATTAGAAATTGAGAAACAGGAACAGTTCGGTAAAATTAAGGGACCTAGCCCACCCTGAACAAAGATCCTAGTTATGATTGGATAGAAATAGTTAAAAGTGAAAATTTGTTGGACAGTGTTGTGCGTGTATGCGTTCGATCTCGCCTCTCTTTTTCGCCTCCTCCGGTTCGATTACGCTCCGAGGAGAAGTCGGAGGTTCCCTCCTCTACCTTGACGGCCGCAAAAGCACGGACCGAGACAGGGCAATCTACTAGGTAAGACTAGTTCCTCCACCCAGTCGTGGACCCGTTTTCTGTTCTCCACTCTCTCCCTCCCCTTTTATCTCCCTCTCTTTCTTCCTCTTCACAATTTTCTTCTTCCTCTCGCGTGATTCTTGATCTCGCCTCCTCTATCTTATACGTCGTTCCTCTTTTTATCCTCTCCGTCTCTTGTTCGCATCTTTCTTTCTCCCTCTTTTACCTCTTTTGCCCTCTCCCGTAGCATCGGTTTGCCACAACCATCGCGGCTCGCTCTTTCGTCTTTGGTCCCCGTGCAACCCATGGAATTCTCTCTCCCTTTACTTCTTACCGCTCCTTCTTTCACCTATCTGCTATCCTTTTCTTATATTCAAGCTTTCGCCCTTTCCCTTCCACGAGATAACATCACTTTGCTTCTTTCCTTCTTGCTTTGACGCCTGTCGTCCTTGTTATTCCGTTGCTGCTACTTTGTTCACCAATATATTTATTACACGTTGGTACCTTTCGTATATATTGCGAAAATTCTTTTTACCTTTTACCGCCGTCTTCGTGCTTCGCTGTCGACTTTGTTTTGTTCCCCTGTCGGGCTTGCCTCGATCCTCGTACGTATATCGGCAAACGTTTATTTGCACGCCGTATGTACATATGTATGTTTTCTCTTTGCTCTGAAATTTTATTCTTGTTTGTCTTTACCTTTATAATTCGTTTTGCTCGTTACAAGCATTGCGTGTTCATAAATCTCGAGCCTGTCGAGAATTTCATTCTTATTTTTTTTTTTTTCCACCTGGACCTATCTTTATTCGTGCTCGTTCCTCACCGGGCATGCGCTTCTTTCATTTACTAAATAAATTTCAATCCACCACGGGTCACGTTTTTCGGTAAATATTACCGACAAAAACGAAGCTGATATTTCAGATTTTGACGTTGCATGATTTATCTCGTTGCATTTGGATGGTTAGCTTGACGAGTACTCGCGAGAAAGTATACACGGATGATCCATCTGGTGGCGAGCGGTGGAAGTTGCGCTATCATCGCGACGAACGTGATTGATTTTGTTATTTTCACGCGTTTCAAACGATTACAAAGAATGTTATTCGATAAAAATAAACACGGTTCAATTTTCTTTGCAATGGAGCCGAGTCAGGTAAATACCTGTTGCAACAGAATTAATCGTAGCCATGCGATTATGCGATCGAAACGCGGCGTTTTTAGAATAAATATGACTTGCAAGTAAACGTCGCATTAGCGAGAAAAACTTTTCCTGTGGTTTACCGCGAAATTACTCGAACGTCGACGTAAAGTATTCAAATCTTTTTTGTTGATTTACGTTCTACGTTACTCAGCGTTATTTTTGAAACGTCGAATTTATTCGAGAAACTTTTTAGCGATTCAAACGTAAATGTTAATAAACGGAGACAATAGATTGAAATAGATTAACCATTTTCTTATTTCACTCTTTATTCTCCACGATTATTCCAGATAATGACCCATCTTGTCTCTCTAGAAAGTTACTTCTTCCACGAGTTCTCGCCCCTTTTTTGCTTTTCCACTTCGCAGAGATTTATCTCCATTGTATTTCAGATCTTCTTTTACTTCTTAGAGTTTCCTCTTCTTTTTTTGCCTTTCCTCTGTTCATTTATCATCGAAGATCGTTCGCGATGCGTGGGAATATTTTCAGAACGAACGTTACGTCATGTACAGTAATAAGTAAACTCGTATATTCAACGATCGTTTAATAAAACGTTGAAAAACTTTGTCGCAGAAAATGAAAATGAAATTTTTACGAGAATATTAGAAACGAAAGGTCGCGTTGCCAGGGGATTTACGTTATGGGGTTGATAAAAGAGGGCGCGAAAGCGGATCTGAAAGGGAACAAGCGATAGTAAACGCGTCGCCTCGCGAGGGGTTCGAGCAGAGTCACAATGAAATTGAAAGGTATTCGTTTCAAAGCGCATCGTGCCGTTGCGATAGCGTGTGCAATGATTGCGTGGAATACAATAGCCGATATACAAGGATCAGCCGTATATTGTTACGATCCGTTGAAAATGGCTGTGCTATTTGTACCCTTTGCCAGAGAAAGCTCTTTGTCACTACGTTTCTAAGTATACGTACAGACGTTTAGAAGCGGAACAACGCGATTACAATTGCTTTCCTTTCTTTGCCTTAAAAAATGAAAGAGAAAAAATTCTGTTAATACGTCGAATAATATCTCTTTTTATTACGATAAAAAGTATCTACGTTCAATATTGAAGAGGTGAAAAGTTTGGGGTATATTCGGGTCCGAATGTAATCACTGGTTCGAAGGATCCTCTCCGAAGGGCAAGCTATTTTTGGAAGAGCAAATTTTCTTATGGGCTCGTGGTAACAAAGGTAGCCTAATGCTATTTACTTATCGAATCCCTAACACCGAAACTGGGGATAGGGTGTCTTTTCTTCTTACGTCACCATTATCGAATGTTCAACAGCAGAAGATTGAATTTCAACTCGTCGGGAGAGAAAAGTAAAGGGTCAACGAAGTGTACATACATTCAGTTCCACCAGAATTGATCGACAATAAAAGAAGCCGTCTAACGCGGCTATCGACGACGAATTTTAAATATGAATAATGGGAATGATAAAATAGCGTCTAAACTTGGGATAAATAAAAAGTAATTGAAGAAAAAAGGAGACTGGGAAAAAAGAGGATAAATGGCGTGAATTCGTTTGCGAATCGAACCGTAGATAAATAAAATGGCGTTCACCGAACGGGACCACCCACTCGATGTTCTCGATCGGCTGGCTTGATGGTTTCTGTTCGACTCGAGAGAACGCAACGATTTCCAACTAACATTGTAAGATTCGTTCGATCGCGTATGACAAACGGTCAGCCATAACGTTGAATTAACTTCCAACCGGTCGGTGTACGCTTTGATTGAGTCTATCCGACCGTGTCAGCCAGGATGCATTCAATCCTACCTTCCTTATATACCCTGTAACAGTCGATCGACTGTAAAATAATTGTAAGTAGGGTAACGCGATTCAGTCGATCGTCGAAACGTTTCTTTTTTCTAACGCGACGTCACGTGTCAAGACCATTTGCAATGGTCACAGAAAGGTACCGAACATTTTAGACACCAATTTTAGCTAGTGGTTAACAAACCCAATGATAGCGCAAGTTAACTCTTTGACGAGTACCGGCAGGATTCCGTATCGAAACGAAACGTCTGGAAAAGAATTTTAGCAAGGCAAGCCGTGCTTAGAACGCTTCATTAGCCAGCGATAATGGCATCAGCTTCTTGAAATTCTTCAACGAGTCAGTTGCGCGCAAATGCTCGTTGTCATCCATTGAAAAGGCAGGGTGAATTATTGGGAATGCAACATAAATGCCAGAGAAGGACGGGTCGTTAAACAAGCGTGTTTGCTACTCGCTCTGCATTAGAAGAAGGTAAACAGAGGCTGGAATTGAATAGAGGCATACGGCACGCGCAGCCAATTAAATTCCAACGCAATTTATCCTTGCCAGTCCTGGCAGCATTCCGTATTATTCTTGGCTGCTTTTCGATACGGGGGACACTTTGTGTTCTCTATCGCCTCCCCTTTTATTTCCCGCTATACTTTGACTGATCGCAGGAAAAAACTGATATTTTTCGTACACTTACCGGTGCTCGGTGATAAATCGAATTAATCCCAAGTCCAATTGCCAGGAAAGCTTCGTCTATCCTACACAAATACGAATGAAACTTAAATTTTAATCAGCTTCAAAATTACATTCCAACACCTTGTAAATTTATTACGTTATCCATCAGGCTATGTACATATAGAGTAGCTAGCTGATAAACAGAGTCGAGGTATACTCACGCGGTAAGCAACGCTTCCGTCGATCCCTGCAATTTCAATGCCTTCTCCTTGCCATCGTTCAACTTCCAACCTTAATTATTCTTCGGCCAATGACTGGTTGTCATCGACAGCCGCGATGACGAGCGCAAACGGACCACCCTTGAGCCTTCAACCTGCACCACGAGTTATCCTTTTATCTCTTTCCATAGGGTCCAAGGAGATCGGCTCGTTGAACAGAGAGGAGCGAGTAAAACTGGAGCGAGTTGTTACGCTTCTCTGTTCACCGGATTACGTAAACGGGATGCGGGATAGTCTTCTTGTTTGCGATATATCACGGCGACCACCCTGGGCTTCGAGTGGCGAACAGGATGAAAGCGAGGATGTAATTTGATCTACCGATGACATTTTTGCCTGTCAACGGTAATGTTGGTGTTTTCGTGTTTAGAAGGCAGACAGTCGAGTGATAAACGGGGACGCGACGATTTATTTCTTTGACGTTTCTTCCATAAAACGAGGAGGATACGGCTGGGAACTTCTTTTAGACTCGATTTCTTTGAACGTGAATAATCAGCCGAATTTGAAAAGCGAGGAATGTAATATGAAATTGAAAATCAAGATTTAAACGCGATACAATTATCGTGGCAGGAACTGCAATGCCAAACACGGATGAAAGTAAAGGCGGCTCGTTTCAATTGGCCCGAAGCGGGCCAAAAAGTCAACTAAAATTGTCCTATCGGGCTCGAACCGAGTCGGGCTGATTGAATCCATATTTGGATCGATTCGAGTGTAACCATAGGAGGAACTGCACGCGCGACCAATATACCGGGTGTTCCATTCTTACATCTCACTTTCGAATTAATTAAAATCGATGTTACACAAGCTCGAGATACTTCTTCCCGTCGTTCTTGTCTCCTGAAACATAAGAAAATCCTTGAATTTAGAAGAAAACTGTATAAAGATATAAATATCATCGATGATTCATGGTACGAATTATTTCGAATTGCCCGATACGTTCTGTATCTGGTCGGGTCGTTCGTCATTCCGAATTTACTTAACATTTTAAGATCCGAGTTCCTTAAAAGGATCAAGGATTGCTTTGTAATGCCGACGTCAATGTTCCTCGAGCGGCAACGGGACTATCTTGGATTGCCACAATTAATGATTCAACGAACGCGATCGATCACTTGTTCC